ATTTCTCAGCACTTCCAATAAATCATACTGGAATTTTTTTGCGTTTGGATGAGGCTATTTTTTCCTTCCTCATATCATGTTCTTCTTCCTGTGAAGGTCCTTCTGCTCTTCGAATCGCTCTCTGGAGATTTCCATCCAAGAAGTGTCGACTTTTTTGGTTCGCTTTGGCGGGGGCCTTTGTTGCCAGAAAATGTACTGGAGCTACATGATCCGTCCAGATCCAACTCGATAATGTTCGAAAAAAACTCATTATTAAAGAATAAATTATGCATAATGTGACAGCACTTCGGCCGGGGTATGCTCGTCGCGCCGGGTTCCACAGAAATTTATTTGATCTCTGGGTGTGGTAGCTGCGAAAGTCTCGTGGTTCAAGAATAAGGCGGGACTTGAGCGGTAACAAAAGAAATAGCGTTATTTTTATTGTTCTTAAAAGGTACAAAGTTTGGTAGGTGCGCGGGTTTTTCTTCTGGCTCTTCCTTCGTGGTTGGCTGACGGAGTCGTCCTTCTCGGTGGCCGCACATGGTGGATGGTTGCGTGCGGGTCCTGGTGGCCGTCCGGTCGATGTCGGTCGAGGTCGCGGAGGTTTAATGCGCTCCGAGGAGAATAAATGTTGCGGAGGTCGAATGCGCTCCGAGGAGAAGAAATGTTGCGGAGGGTTAATGCGCTCCGAAGAGAGGAAAGGCGGCGGAGGTTTGCGCTCCGAGGAGGATGGGAGGTCTCTGGGGCTGCTGGTGGCTGCTACTGATGCTTACCTCTCCACTGGCCGGAGCGGAACGTATCCTGATCGCTCTGGCGGAGCCCCTTTTATTTCTTTTTTTGGTTTTAAATCATCTCAAGGATGATCGGAATTTTGATCGTAGCACTGTAGCCACATTGATCAGATACTGGTGATGTTGTTTTTTGGCGAGTTTGACAGGTCGGTGTATAAAAAAAGAAAAAAATTACTTAACTTTTTTAGAAAATAAACTGAAATTACTTTATAGCATGATAAAGAAAAAAGGGGTCAAAAGTTTAAGTCAGCAGCTTTGATGAAGATTGCCAGCTCTCTGAGATGTAGCGGCTCTTTTTATACCCGATACTCAAAATGAGTATTGGGGTATATTAGATTTGTGGTAAAAGTGGATGAGTGTAACGTTCAGAAGGAATCGTTTCCGACCCCATAAAGTATATATATACTTGATCAGCATCAATAGCCGAGTCGATTGAGCCATGTCTGTCTGTCCGTCTGTCCGTCCGTCCGTCTGTCCGTCCCCTTCAGCGCCTAATGCTCAAAGACTATAAGAGCTAGAGCAACGATGTTTTGGATCCAAACTTCTGTGATATGTCACTGCTACAAAAATATTTCAAAACTTTGCCCCGCCTACTTCCGCCCCCACAAAGGACGAAAATCTGTGGCATCAATAATTTTGACGATACGAAAAAACTAAAAACGCAGAATCGTAGAAGATGAACCAGATCGTATAATTATTACAGCCAGAATCACGAAAACAATTTCACTCTTTCTCGCTCTGTCTCACTCTAACACACAGGTTTCATGGTCGGTTTTGCCAATTGCAAAATATGAGTTCAAGGATCTCAGAACCCATAAGAGCTAGAGCAACCAAATTTGGTATCCACACTCCTGTGATATCGGACTTTGACCGTTTCATGTCCAAATTTCGGCACACCCCCTTCCGCCCCCGCAAAGGATGCAAATCTGGGGATATTCACAAATCTCAGAGACTATTAAAGCTAGAGTAACCAAATTTGGTATCCGCACTTCTGTTAGATCTCACTATAAAACTTTTATCTCAAAATTTCGCCCCACCCCTTTCCGCCCACACAAAGGACGAAAATCTGTTGCATCCACAATATTGCAGATTCGAGAAAACTAAAAACGCAGAATCATAAATAATGACCATATCTATCAGGTTGCTGAATCTGGATCAGATCAGATCATTTTTATAGCCAAAAGGAACAAATCAATTTGCAGTGGCTACGCAGCGCCCGACGTCACGCTCAGACTGATTTTCTGTCTCTCTCGAACGCACTCTTTGTCGTGTCGTTTAATATTAGCGGCGTCTGCCGGAGGAGAGCCATACTGACTTAGTATCGGGTATAACCGTAGAGTTGCGGTGTCCGCAGCAACTCACAACGTTCCCCCTCGTTTGATTAATAATTGATGTAAATTGTTATAATATTTAAAGATTTTGAATTTCCTATTGAGCCCGGCAATCTTTGGCAATCGAAGATCAGGTGTTCGGCATATTCAGTTACATTGCACTTTTCGCAGATATTTGAGTCAATTGCTTTAATGCTGTGTAGGAAGACTTTGTCGTATGTGCGTCCTGTCATAAGTCTGTTAATGGTCTTGATGCTTTTAGCATTCCATTTAAGAGAATAATGCCAGGGTTTACTGGGTATGTCTGGAAATATGTCTATGAGGCTGGATCCCTTCGTCCTACACTTCATCCTGTAGTCCTCATTCCATTTGTATACTAAAAAGTTCCTAATTTCTCTTTGAGCCTTCTTGTAGCTGTATTCTATATTTATTGTAACCCCCTCACGTGTAGCAGCCTTTGCTGCTATGTCAGTCTTTTCGTTGATGGCCACCCTTGTGACCAGGGACCCATAGAATGTCAAGTTTCTGAATGTCTGATTGGTTAATTATGTTGTGAATATCATTCACTAGGTAGGAGTCTGTATTCTTATTTTTAATTAAATTAATAGCTCCTAATCCATCACTTAAAATCACAGCCTTTTTGTAAAATTATTTAAGACATATTTCGCCTTTTTAAGGCCTACGAGTTCGGCACCCACTGAGGATAATCTGTTTTCTATTTTGTTTTCTATGCCACATGTACTTTCTGTAACTGAGGCATCTGTTGAATGAATGTTCCAGTCGTCCTTTCTGTACTTGTTCATAATCTCATAAAATATAGTTTTTATTTCTTCATTCGGGTATTCTTCCTTACCCTTAGTTAAAAATGTATCTAATACATAGATTTTGTTACATGTGTTAACACTATCACAGTCTTGAGTGTTTACAAAGATGGAATTAAATTCTCTTAAAGTACGTGTGTAACTCTTATCAGCTTTTGAGCCTCCTAACTTTAAGCAGTTCTTTGGCTGTAAGCCATTTCGCCCTGAAAACAGGTGGCATTACACCAGCGACGACAAAAATTTCGTGTTTGCTTGTATCAGGTGGCACCCCAACACACCTTCTGAGTGATTTAGCTTGAGCTATTTCTATATCTTTGCTTGCTCCAGATCCTATGTCTGAAAAACTTGTGATAGCATATTCTTGTTTTGTGCTAATAAAAGCTTTGAAGATGTTGGTACTTGTTTTAGGTTTTAGATGTGATTTGATAGTAGTCGCAAGCTGGAGGCTTCTGTTGCCTTTTTATACCCGATACTCAAAATGAGTATTGGGGTATATTAGATTTGTGGTAAAAGTGGATGTGTGTAACGTCCAGAAGGAATCGTTTCCGACCCTATAAAGTATATATATTCTTGATCAGCATCAATAGCCGAGTCGATTGAGCCCTGTCTGTCTGTCCGTCTGTCCGTCCGTCTGTCCGTCTGTCCGTCCCCTTCAGCGCCTAGTGCTCAAAGACTATAAGAGCTAGAGCAACGATGTTTTGGATCCAGACTTCTGTGATATGTCACAGCTACAAAAATATTTCAAATATTTCATACTTTGCCCCGCCCACTTCCGCCCCCACAAAGGACGAAAATCTGTGGCAACCTTTTAGTGTTGTAAGTGGCTAGAAAATAATTAAATTCATTTAATTTAAATAAAATACGATTTCAATAGTAAAAACAAGATTGGTTATGTAAGATATGAATATCAGTTCAAGATTTAATTATCGATAGTACTATGTACTCGATATATCGATACTTGTCGCGGACAAGTATTGATATGTCAGCATAATAGGCTCGGCACACATATGTGAAAATCCCATTAAACTGGCACCATCCGTCATCCTACATCCATCATCAAAAACAGCCGATGCCAATGACAAGTTCATAATGTTTGCACGGAATATTTATTTTTCCTTTGTATAAAATTGAATGATTAAGACCTAGCAATTATTTTGGCTGTCGTTCAACAGCAAAATATTTTGCTGCACCAACTGATAATGGTGCCGCAAATGAATAAAGATGATGATTATAACCCCTAATATGCTCTGCACACTGAGACCATCCCGGGGGAATGGTGGGATTTTTTGGCAGATGTGAAACTCCGATTCACACTGGAACCATCCATCAAAAATAGCTGATGCCAATAACAAGTACATTATATTTGCGCGGAAGATTTATAAATTTTTTTTTATATTGGATAATGAAGATGTAGCAGTTATTTCGGCCGTCGGCTATTCACACTGACGACCATCCACCATCCACCATCCATTTCGGGGATGCTCCGTAAGGTTTTGCCGTTCCGAAAATTTCCCAGTTAGTCCACCATCCATTTTGGATGTTCCTAAACCGCACGTTTCTATGCGATAGTTAGCCGATGGTTTTCAAATGCAACTCTGAATAATTGTCATTCACAATTGAAAAATGGTATTCACTGCGAAAACGTAAACAATGATTGTGACAAAATTAACAAAAAACAAAAACAACAACAGAACAGCTCGGAAGGACAGCAGACCAAATTTTCGAAAAACTTATTAATAAAATGGATTTAGTGCCAGAAAACTCCTCCAGTGGTACGTTGAATAGATATATTTGTTTTTTATTGTTTATAATATATAATATTATTATACAATGCAGCAAACAAGAGAACAACAGCAGGCGGCAGGGTGAAATGGAGTGCCGCGCTTGAGTGCCTGCTGATTGACATATGGCAGGAGAAAATTGAAGATTTGCGCGGACCACGCAAAAATTCACATGTGTACATGGAGATGGCCGAGTCCATGAAGGAGGCTGGGCTTGAGCTTGGATGGGGCGAGATAAGGACAAAGCTCGAGAACATGACCAAAACATGATATGTTTTGCAAGTCTTGACTTCTGGTATATCATCGAGTCATTGCACCTTCCTGCAGAGCCGATATTTACATATGTAAATCTGTATCTAAAAAGAATCGGATTTAAATAATTTAGGACATTAAACCAACTTGCTAAATACATATTTTTGTGCCAGATATTTGCATACCTATAATCCAATAAAAGTTTAAAAACCAATTTATATGTAAACATATTGCTGAAGTTCTTATTGATTTCCTACCAATTGCACCTAGGCACTGAGGAAACCCAATTGCCTCGAATCCCTTTACGCACTCATCAATTTTGTCGGAAGTTAGGTAATTGGGCGACATGTACTCCTTCGAAAACTCGTCGATAAGTGCTCTGCAAAACTCGTGCAGGATATTACACACACTGTTTGGAGCTACACCGAAAAGCCTGCCAACTGTTCGGTACTCAGAGGTCGAGCCCAAAGTGTATAGCGCAATGGCGATGCGCTTTTCCAAAGGAATTGCAGCTCGGCAGTTGGAGTCCTTCTTTCGCAGCACTTCAAGCCGATTCACTAAAATATCAAAGCAGGGCCTCTCCATTCGGAAACTCTCTTTGAAAAACGCCTCGTTGTTTTCTGGTACATCTTTCTCCCAAAATGTCCCGAACCGCTTCTAAAACCATAAAATATGTCCTTGTACTTTAAACTTTGGTAGAAGTTAGTAGAAGTACTCACAAACGACCATAACCTTCCTGGCTTTTGTGTTTTTATGGCAGTTACCCAGTCAAGCATATCATCTTCGTCAAAGTTAAAGTCATCATCGTCATCATCATTATTCAACATTATTAGTTGGTGCCAGAAAATATTTTGCTGCTGTGCAACCACAGCCGAAATAATTGCTATATCTTCATCATCCATTATAATAACCAAGAATTAATAAATCTTCCGCGCAAATTTAATGAACTTGTTATTGGCATCAGCTGTTTTTGACGGATGGTGGATGGTGGATGGTGGCAGTGTGAATCGTAGTTTCACATCTGTCAAAAAATCCCATAAGATATGAATATCAGTTCAAGATTTAATTATCGATAGTACTATAAGAAACACCAATGTACTCGATATATCGATACTTGTCGCGGACAAGTATTGATATGTCAGCATAATAGGCTCGGCACACTTAGCACATCCCAGGGGAACGGTGGGAAATTTTGACATAGGTCAAAATCCCATTAAACTGGCACCATCCGTCATCCTACATCCATCATCAAAAACAGCCGATGCCAATAACAAGTTCATAATGTTTGCACGGAATATTTATTTTTCCTTTGTATAAAAATGGATGATGAAGACCTAGCAATTATTTTGGCTGTCGTTCAACAGCAAAATATTTTGCTGCACCAACTGATAATGTTGCCGCAAATGAATGATGATGATTATAACCCCTAATATGCTCTGCACACTGAGACCATCCCGGGGGAATGGTGGGATTTTTTGACAGATGTGAAACTCCGATTCACACTGGCACCATCCACCATTCGTCAAAAACAGCTGATGCCAATAACAAGTACATTATATTTGCGCGGAAGATTTATAAATTTTTTTTATATTGGATAATGAAGATGAAGAAGCAAAATATGCCAACAGCCCGATAGCAGCAACAGTTCTGGTGATTTTAATCAGTCAGCAGAACAGATAAGATCTGCAATAGCAAAATATTGTTTACACCATAAAGAAAATTAGAAACTTATTAATTTATATTTCTCAGCACTTCCAATAAATCATTCTGGAATTTTTTTTGCGTTTGGATGAGGCTATTTTTTCCTTCCTCATATCATGTTCTTCTTCCTGTGAAGGTCCTTCTGCTCTTCGAATCGCTCTCTGGAGATTTCCATCCAAGAAGTGTCGACTTTTTTGGTTCGCTTTGGCGGGGGCCTTTGTTGCCAGAAAATGTGCTGGAGCTACATGATCCGTCCAGATCCAACTCGATAATGTTCGAAAAAAACTCATTATTAAAGAATAAATTATGCATAATGTGACAGCGCTTCGGCCGGGGTATGCTCGTCGCGCCGGGTTCCACAGAAATTTATTTGATCTCTGGGTGTGGTAGCTGAGAGAGTCTCATGGTTCAAGAATAAGGCGGGACTTGAGCGGTAACAAAAGAAATAGCGTTATTTTTATTGTTCTTAAAAGGTACAAAGTTTGGTAGGTGCGCGGGTTTTTCTTCTGGCTCTTCCTTCGTGGTCGGCTGCCGGAGTCGTCCTTCGCGGTGGCCGCACGTGGTGGATGGTTGCGTGCGGGTCCTGGTGGCCGTCCGGTCGATGTCGGTCGAGGAATGTTGCGGAGGTCTAATGCGCTCCGAGGAGAAGAACTGTTGCGGAGGTCGAATGCGCTCCGAGGAGAAGAAATGTTGCGGAGGTCGAATGCGCTCAGAGGAGAAGAAAGGTTGCGGAGGGTTAATGCGCTCCGAAGAGAGGAAAGGCGGCGGAGGTTTAATGCGTTCCGAGGAGGATGGGAGGTCGCTGGGGCTGCTGGTGGCTGCTACTGATGCTTACCTCTCCACTGGTCGGAGCCGAACGGATCCTGATCGCTCTGGCGGAGCCCCTTTTATTTCTTTTTTTGGTTTTAAATCATCTCAAGGATGATCGGAATTTTGATCGTAGCACTGTAGCCACATTGATCAGATACTGGTGATTGACAGGTTTGACGAGTTTGACAGGTCGGTGTATAAAAAAAGAAAAAATTTACTTAACTTTTTTAGAAAATAAACTGAAATTACTTTATAACATGATAAAGAAAAAAGGGGTCAAAAGTTTAAGTCAGCAGTTTTGATGAAGATTGCCAGCTCTCTGAGATGTAGCGGCTCTTTTTTGATTAATAATTGATGTAAATTGTTATAATATTTAAAGATTTTGAATTTCCTATTGAGCCCGGCAAATCTTTGGCAATCGAAGATCAGGTGTTCGGCATATTCAGTTACATTGCACTTTTCGCAGATATTTGAGTCAATTGCTTTGATGCTGTGTGGGAAGACTTTGTCGTATGTGTGTCCTGTCATAAGTCTGTTAATGGTCTTGATGCTTTTAGCATTCCATTTAAGAGAATAATGCCAGGGTTTACTGGGTGTGTCTGGAAATATGTCTATGAGGCTGGATCCCTTCGTCCTACACTTCATCCTGTAGTCCTCATTCCATTTGTATACTAAAAAGTTCCTAATTTCTCTTTGAGCCTCCTTGTAGCTGTATTCTATATTTATTGTAACCCCCTCACTTGTAGCAGCCTTTGCTGCTGTCAGTCTTTTCGTTGCTGGCCACACCCTTGTGACCAGGGACCCATAGAATGTCAAGTTTCTGAATGTCTGATTGGTTAATTATGTTGTGAATATCATTCACTAGGTACGAGTCTGTATTCTTATTACTTCTTCATCACTTAAAATCACAGCTTTTTTGTATTTATCATTAAGACATATTTCGCCTTTTTAATGCCTACGAGTTCGGCACCTACTGAGGATAATCTGTTTTCTACTTGTTTTTCTACTGTTGTACTTGTGGATATTTCCACTAGGCCATTCGACTATTCCTATGCCACATGTTCTTTCTGTAACTGAGGCATCTGTTGATAGAATGTTCCAGTCGTCCTTTCTGTACTTGTTCAGAATCTCATAAAATATAGTTTTTATTTCTTCATTCGAGTATTCTTCCTTACCCTTAGTTAAAAATGTATCTAATACATGGATTTTGTTACATGTGTTAACACTATCACAGTCTTGAGTGTTTACAAAGATGGAATTAAATTCTCTTAAAGTACGTGTGTAACTCGTATCATCTTTTGAGCCTCCTAACTTTAAGCAGTTCTTTGGCTGTAAGCTACTTCGCCCTGAAAACAGGTGGCATTACACCAGCGAGGACAAAAATTTCGTGTTTGCTTGTATCAGGTGGCACCCCAACACACCTTCTGAGTGATTTAGCTTGCGCTATTTCTATATCTTTGCTTGCTCCAGATCCTATGTCTGAAAAACTTGTGATAGCATATTCTTGTTTTGTGCTAATAAAAGCTTTGAAGATGTTGGTACTTGTTTTAGGTTTTAGATCTGATTTGATAGTAGTCGCAAGCTGGAGGCTTCTGTTGCCTTTTTTTGATTGTTCTTTAACCATTTTTACATGACTGACATTTGACATGTTTGCGCTAATCAGTCTGCCTAAGAAACGGATATCATCGTACTTCTAGACCAACGAGCCGACTGAACGTTGAGCGCTCTATTATGGATTCAATGCGCGTGCTCGCCCTCTGCTGGTGTAAAAGGAATGACTATTGTATGCACAAGGGCTGCTAGGTTAGCTAAAACACAAACCTTTTAGTGTTGTAAGTGGCTAGAAAATAATTAAATTCATTTAATTTAAATCAAATACGATTTCAATTGTAAAAACAAGATTGGTTATGTAAGATATGAATATCAGTTCAAGATTTAATTATCGATAGTACTATGTACTCGATATATCGATACTTGTCGCGGACAAGTATTGATATGTCAGCATAATAGGCTCGGCACACTTAGCACATCCCAGGGGAAGGGTGGGACATATGTGAGAATCCCATTAAACTGGCACCATCCGTCATCCTACATCCATCATCAAAAACAGCCGATGCCAATAACAAGTTCATAATGTTTGCACGGAATATTTATTTTTCCTTGGTATAAAAACGGATGATGAAGACCTAGCAATTATTTTGGCTGTCGTTCAACAGCAAAATATTTTGCAGCACCAACTGATAATGTTGCCGCAAATGAATAATGATGATGATTATAACCCCTAATATGCTCTGCACACTGAGACCATCCCGGGGGAATGGTGGGATTTTTTGACAGATGTGAAACTCCGATTCACACTGGCACCATCCACCATTCGTCAAAAACAGCTGATGCCAATAACAGGTACATTATATTTGCGCGGAAGATTCATAATTTTTTTTTATATTGGATAATGAAGATGTAGCAATTATTTCGGCCGTGTTTCAACAGCAAAATATGCCAACAGCCCGATAGCAGCAACAGTTCTGGTGATTTTAATTAGTCAGCAGAACAGATAAGATCTGCAATAGCAAAATATTGTTTACACCATAATGAAAATTAGAAACTTATTAATTTATATTTCTCAGCACTTCCAATAAATCATTCTGGAATTTTTTTGCGTGTGGATGAGGCTATTTTTTCCTTCCTCATATCATGTTCTTCTTCCTGTGAAGGTCCTTCTGCTCTTCCAATCGCTCTCTGGAGATTTCCATCCAAGAAGTGTCGACTTTTTTGGTTCGCTTTGGCGGGGGCCTTTGTTGCCAGAAAATGTGCTGGAGCTACATGATCCGTCCAGATCCAACTCGATAATGTTCGAAAAAAACTCATTATTAAAGAATAAATTATGCATAATGTGACAGCGCTTCGGCCGGGGTATGCTCGTCGCGCCGGGTTCCACAGAAATTTATTTGATCTCTGGGTGTGGTAGCTGAGAGAGTCTCGTGGTTCAAGAATAAGGCGGGACTTGAGCGGTAACAAAAGAAATAGCGTTATTTTTATTGTTCTTAAAAGGTACAAAGTATGGTAGGTGCGCGGGTTTTTCTTCTGGCTCTTCCTTCGTGGTTGGCTGCCGGAGTCGTCCTTCTCGGTGGCCGCACATGGTGGATGGTTGCGTGCGGGTCCTGGTGGCCGTCCGGTCGATGTCGGTCGAGATCGCGGAGGTTTAATGCGCTCCGAGGAGAATAAATGTTGCGGAGGTCGAATGCGCTCCGAGGAGAAGAAATGTTGCGGAGGGTTAATGCGCTCCGAGGAGATGAAAGGTTGCGGAGGGTTAATG